AGTACGCCTATAGTATATTGTTGGTGTAAAAAAAACGAGCTGCTTTTATCCGCCATGTTAATCAGTAATTTTAAACATGATAAAAACGTGCACTTAATTTGCTTGGAAAATACTTGCGAATACGGCAGTCATAAAAAAAATGTACAGTAGCCCAGCCTAATAATAATTTGTCTATATTAAAAGTATTGCTCTTAACAGACCTGTGTGTTTTGTATCACTAGTGCAGTGTCCGTTCTCGGAGAATGTAAGCCCTGCCTGCATGAAGGCTGATACTCGACGCGTCCGCAAGTTCGCTTGGGTGCGCACGGCAAATATGATGTCATCGCGGTGTTGGCGGAAGTTCGCTTTGAGTGTTTGAGTTCAGGGCGATTCTAGCCAAACATGCACGTCTGTGCCGGCATTTGTGTGAAACAGAAGCAGTTTGATGTGAAGTTCAAACTCCATCAGGTGCTTTTTGACGGAAAACAAGTTTTTTTGCATAGTTTGTCCAAGGCTTTTTATTTGAAGTACGTTTTATTTTTATTGTATAAAAATAGAATTAGAATGCATTTAGATACTATTTATACACTATTTGCTTATTGTTGTCTTGTGTTTGATGCAAAATAAAGCCAATAGTTTAAGATTGTTTTAATCAGTTTGTACGTAAAGAAATTATTAATTCATCAACTCATTCATCACGTGAGAAGTCTTGTACCGGTGTTGTGCCCATTTTCGACCCCCTGCAAAATTATTACCCCTCTCGTTGAAATTGCTATCTGATTGCCTAATCCTAACCCCACCCCTAATCCTAACCCCTCCCCCACACCTAACCCTAAACCTACCAATACTAAGGGGGTCAGAATTGGGCACAACACCGGCAAATGCCTTCTTCTCACGGGTGGTTCCCGATAGTTTTAGAGGACAATTACTCCTCGTCGCCCCCTGTCGTTTCAAAGAATAGTACAACGGCGAACGCGACAAGTAAAAAAGCTATAAGTAATAAAAAGTAATAAAAGCCTCGTTCGTTTGGAAGGTGCGCACGCAGTCAGCGGAGGCTCGCGGAGCGGAGCTAGGCGAAAGTATAAATCCAGCTTGAGGCACGCCGCTTCAGGATCGCGCTGTTCTGTAGTTTATTAAGTTTATTAATTCTGAACGTGTCGCGTGTCCATATTGCACCAAAATGCGACACTGCACTCCCTTGGGTCCGCAGCAACACAACCGCCACGCATGAAGTCGATTGGATGAACGGTTCTCGACATAATAAAAATGTAAACAGACAGACAGACACATAGAGATTCCTGCCTTTATTACACCGTGTCTACACCGGACGCGACAGCTGTCGTGTCGCGCCGCACCGCGCCGCGCCACAACAGCTAAAGTCGGTCTACACTGGACACGACAAAGCGACCGTTGAAAATCATTTGAAATTTGTGCAGCA